TTCTTCGGCCTCCATATCTTCCCCTTCTATTATATTTCCCTATTCTATTTGCCAGGAGGTGATGGGACCAATGGCCATGATCTTAGTTGTTTTTTGATGTTGAGCTTCAGGCTCTCCTCTTTTACTCTCATCCCTTTACCGTCCTCCGAAAAAAGTTACCCTCATCCCTTTACCGTCCTCCGAAAAAAGTGGCTTACCATTTGCAAATGGCTGGAGAACCACGCTACAAAGGAATAGTGGTAGTCCCAAAAAAAACCCAGAATCTATTCTGGAGTGATATCTGATTAGAACTAGAAACACACACAAAATGTATCCCGATCTTTCAAGATTTCACATGTTTTTGTCAAGATATTGACAAAATAAAATGGTGGACCTAAAAACGAAGCCAGAAGCTGGATCTTAATGCCACGCAGACGACAAAGACTTAAAAACCAGACTTCCTCCTGCTCGCCAACAAGATCTGTAACGTTGACAGCCCACTCGCTTCGCGACGAAGGTATCCGTTTGATACGGACGTCGGAGGGAACCGTTATGTGCATGTGTCACAGACCCCAAAGCTGGGGACTCAGCATCTGTCCTCACAAAGCAATATACAGTCATGCCCCGCTTTACAATTACCATGTTTAATGATGAATCCACTTGACGGTGAGGTTTTTGTGATCGCTTTTGCGAACGCAAAACGATGGTTTGAATAAGGGTTTTCCCGCTTTGCGATGATCGGTTCCAGGGTTTCCCGCTTTGCGATGATCGGTTCCCTGCTTCGGGAACTGATTTTCGCTTTACGACGAAGAAAACAGCTGATCGTTGGGTTTTCAAAATGGCGACTGGGTGTACAAAATGGCTTCCCGCTGTGTTTAGGAGCCATTTTTCACTTTACAGGCACCCAAAAATGGCTGCCCCTATGGAGGATCTTCGCTGGACAGCGAGTTTTCAGCCCATTGGAATGCACTGAGGGGCCTTCAATGCGTTTCAATGGGTTTTAGTTTCGTTTTGACGTTTTCGCTCTACAGCGATTTCGCTGGAATGAATTAACATCGTCAAGCGAGGCACCACTGTATTTTAAAAGAAAAAGGGGGTCGGGGAAAGCATCTGCCCGCCTTCCAAACCAGAAAAAAAAATCCCAAATATAGTCTTCTTTGGTGCCACTGGGAATAAATATAAATGAACAAGCAAGCAAGTAAAGGTATATCAACTTTTGGCACATGGCCGCTGTCCAGAGGTTGAGCTTCCCATTCTGAAATCTTTTTTGGGCTATAGTCTAAAGCAAATTTTTGTTGTTGTTTAGTCGTGTCCGACTCTTGGTGACCCTATAGACCAGAGCACGCTGGGCCCTCCTGTCTTCCACGGCCTCCCGGAGTTGGGTCAAAATCATGTTGGTCGCTTCGATCACCCTGTCCAGCCATCTCATCCTCTGTTGTCCCCTTTTCCTCTGGCCACCGAAATTCGGGGGGGGCAGTTCCTACCCATTCTTCCGCCAGCTGTTGAAGGGGCAAAGCTTGAACTAAAACTCCAGCCGTGGGTTAAATGGGAGCAGGAGAGCAGCCTTCCACCCCTGCCCAAAGCTGACCTTCACCCCCGTGGAAGAGATTACACCTAAGCCATACCGGCCTGACTCTGACGTCTACCTGATATCGCCTAAGATACCGGCCCTTTATGACCGGAACACATTCCCATCATTGTGGGGAAGAAAAAAACATTCAAACATTTGGCAAGCCCCAACTGTATCACATGCACGCCCATCCATGCTCACAAGCATGCTTGCACGACAACCAAATAACACGATTTTCCAATGAGCTTCATGGCCTTGAAAATCTGTATTTTGCAGTTCTCCAAATACTGTCAGTTCAGGGAAATGCCTGATTTACGTGAAAAATAAATTGCTTGGGCAGACCCGTATAAAAGGCTTGGTTATCTCTCTTGAAAAGCCCGCTTGTTTATCGTAATTCTCAGTCTGCTTTTTACCTTTTTGTTTTGGCAAGAGTTAATTGTCTCAATTAGAACGCCTTGCCTTACTGTTTGTGCATCACCCCCTAATGATCTGTCAGCTTGAAATGTGTGTTTTAACAACTAAATACGTGTCCGGAAACTGTGCGCGATTACCTTCTGGCATGCGAAAGGCACTCTGTATAGGATTCCTTGCATCTTTCCTTTAGCACGATTTCCCCCCCACGGCCTTTAGACCACGTTTCCCCACACAAAGCATCCTTTTACTTACAACGTCCTCATCAAGACCTTCGTTAAACATACAAATTAGCAGACACGCATTTTAGGCAAAGGGCAGTCCCCTCCCCACCTCCTTTTAATTGTCGTTTCTGCTAATTACGCATTTCTCCATTTTTTTGGGGGGGGGTGATGTCGGGATCTTGCGGCCAACTTTTGTTCTAGAAAGCTTGGCAACTGGCTGGGAAGAAAAATCCGAGCCTCGGCTTCTGCATTTAAAACCTTGTCGTATTGACCTCAAGGCTCTGGACAATCATAACCGCCCGCCCCTCCTCACCCCGAATGACGTTTCTGGCTGAAAAACACCCTAACAAGATTGCGGTGAGATCTATAAGAGGCCGACAAACTGGAGCAGAGGAGGGCAAGGAGGATGAAGGCACTGGAAACCAAGCTCTATAAGGAGGAAAGACGGAAAGAACTGGGTTAACAAGATTGCGGCGAGATCTATAAGGAAGAGGTCAACAAACTGGAACAAATTCGGAAGTCGACGACAAAGACCATCAGGGGACTGGAAACCAAGCCCTCGGATTTAGCCTTAAGAAGATGGAGGGGAGATACGAGAGCCCTCTTCAAATCCTTAAAATGTAGTTTTAGAGGGGCAGGATTTGTCCTCAATCATCCCTCCTCTTCAAATCACTAAAAGGTAGTTCTAGAGAGGAGGGGCAGGATTTGCCCTCAATCATCCCAAAGCGCAGGACACATCATCATGGGCTCAAGCGACAGGAAGCCAGATTTAGGCTGAAGATCAGGAAAAAACTGAGAGCCCTCTTCAAATCCTTAAAATGTAGTTTTAGAGGGGCAGGATTTGTCCTCAATCATCCCAAAGCGCAGGACACACCATCATGGGCTCAAGCAACAGGAAGCCAGATTTAGGCTGAAGATCACGAAAAACTTTCTAACTGTTAGAGCAGTACGACAATGGAGCTCATGACCTTAGAGGGAGGTGGTGAGCGCTACAGCGCTGTGGAGGCATTCAAGGGAAAACTGAACCACTCTCTGCCCAATCTGCTTTGATTCGGATTCCCGCCTTGAGCAGAGGGTAGGATTCGATGGCCTTTCGTAGACCCTTTCCAACTCTGTGATTCAATGTTGTTCCTCCTGCTCTTATTTAGGTGCTGTCGTAGTCATTTCGAACCCGCAGCAGCCTTATGTATTAGTGACCCTCCTGAAGGGCCTTTCATGAAATGCCCCAATTTGTCCAATTAGGGGTGTGTGTGAACTGAGCGCCTTGAGCAGAGGGTAGGATTCGATGGCCTTTCGTAGACCCTTTCCAACTCTGTGATTCAATGTTGTTCCTCCTGCTCTTATTTAGGTGCTGTCGTAGTCATTTCGAACCCGCAGCAGCCTTATGTATTAGTGACCCTCCTGAAGGGCCTTTCATGAAATGCCCCAATTTGTCCAATTAGGGGTGTGTGTGAACTGAGCTTTCGACCTTCTACCTGCCAAGGGGGACCCTCTCCCACTGAGGCCCACTCTCTGTTCACAACGACCCCCCTGTATCCCGAGATAATGATGGTCCTGGGGAACGGGCGATGATCCAGATGTTTCTGGATCCCGATGCTGCTCCCCAGGACTGATGGTGATCCATCCAACATCTGGAAGACCCTGTGGTGTCCACCTCTGCCCCAGAATCCCGGACTCGTCATGTCAGGACGTTAACAGCCCAGGCGTCCTCCGCACAAACGAGACCCACAAAGCCGACGAAGAAACTCTTGATGGTAAGAGGATTCTTTTCAACGAGCCCATAAATGCCTTCTTTCGTTCAGTCCCTTTTCTGCCCTGCTCTTCCCGGAACCGAAGCCAACAGGAATTAAGACACCCTGCTTGCTGGCCTCCACAGCCGAAAGACAGCAAACTCGGTCCCTCTCGCTCTTTTTTCCTCCTTCTCTTGGTCTGGCTTGCCTTTGGGGGAATCTCCTGGCGGCTGATGCCTGAATATCCGCCCACCCTGAATTCCTTTCCCTTGGTATCATCTTTCCCCTTTTAGCCTTTGCTGCTTTGCATGAATTTTATTTCTGACATTCTAAAGCCTGCTTGGTTTATTCTTATTGTTTTCCCCCCAAAGCCCCTCCCCAGCAAAGGTCTGGGGGTTCCTCTGTAATTTCTTTCAATTTTTTTTTGGGGGGGGGAAGGAAGCGTTTTTTTGAAAATTGCTGCCAACTGGGTTTTACGCCGCCTAAGTAGATCCCAAGAACCGGGACGTTGCTGTACGACAGGCCAAGGACCATGATTTTATGACATCTCTTTTAGTGGAAAGTACCTAGAGATAAAAAGTTGGGTTGTCGTTGTGTTTTTCTTCCCAGATTCCAAGTACTCACATTTTTATTACCTGTTCTGCACTTTTAACTGTACGGAGCAGCCCAGTTTTACAGACTGTGTACTATGTCCCTAACACAGCAGGAAAGAATTCCCATTTCAGAGTTAAAAGAGTTTAAAAAAACAGGTTCCTGCTTTAACAACAGCCCGGAGGACCGGTGACCCCAACACCCCCTGACTCCTGAAATGCCTCTGCGCGTCATCCCGTCTCTACGCAGAGATACACTGAGTCTCAACATGGAGGCTCTATTAAGCAAGACTTTACATAGCCAGGCCCCTTCTAAACCCCGTTATTCTATGATTCATGCCGAAAGCATGCTGGTTTTTTTTGGTAAGCGGTCCAAGAACATCTGGAGCGTCGCCGTTGCCCAGTCTTGAGACGCTCAAGACTTTCCAGAGAGTAAACTGTGAAATGAAAAGTTCGCTGTAAACAAAGTAAAGGACAGCCAAGCAATAAACAGGAAGACTTTTTGTTTTTAAATTTATCAAAAGCGTGTGTCAAGAAAACCAGGCCCCTTTCGGCCCACTCCGGTCGGGGCGATTGCATCAGATGATGAGGTGCAAATCTCTCCAGATGTCCTGGATTCCCAGCACCCTCCGGCTGCTGAATCCGATGGAAAAATCTCCAAACAGCTGCAATCTTTGACGTCGACGTGGGAACTCCCTTCCTGCCTCGGACCCGGGATGTCTCCTGCTCCGAGTTCTAGCGAAACCTCCGCTGGGACGTTCAGCGCAGAGACCACCGGGTTAGATCCGGACAACCTGAGCCGAGACGCAGGGGCTCCTCCGCACCCCCTCGGAAGCCTGTCGCTGGAGCCACAGACGCCCGTAGGTGCCCCCCACCTGGCCTTTCGTGAGCCGTCCGGGATTAACGCAGACACACCCGAGGACTTCCTGAGCAGGACGACAACCGTGGAGGAGAAGAAGAAGAACAGAAATCGGATTAGAAAATCCACAGAACAGAACAGTTTGGGCTAATGGGGAACTGGTGACATTCCATGTTGGATGGGAGTCTCCGTCAGAGCCATCTAGATTTTTTGGGTCCCTCCAACTTCTTTGATCAGAACAAAAAGGGCTAACTCTGGTGAGGAACACGAACACAGACCTCAGGCTCTGTTGAGTACGGGGCAGAAATTAATTCACACTGCCCCTTGGAAAGGTAGCAGTTGCATGCATTGAAGTTTGACCAAGAGGCTGACGGAGCCGTAAGGAAGTCAAAACTGCCTCCTGACCCCGGGCAGCAGAAGCAGCCATACAGTAGGATCCCCTTTATCAACAGGATCAGTATCTGCAGATTCACTGATCCACAATATGAAAATATTAAAAAGAAAAATATATTTCTACAGATGAAGTTAAGAGAATTGGCCACTAGAGGGAGCGAGAGACCCGGCTACGTAAAGCGTTCCCCAGAGAAATATATTTCCATCATGTCATTACCAAAATTGGCCACTAGAAGGAGCCAGAGACCTAGCTATGTCAAGCGTTCACTATCATCTACGTTTTCCAGCATCAGCGGTAGGGGTTTGGAACCGATCCACTGTGAACACGGGGTCCTACTGTACTGTCCGGAGGCCGAAAGCCTTTTGAGATAGAAAACTGAAGAATGGTCGTATAGACCAGATGGGCGGGATACAAATCAAATAAATAAATACATAAATAAATGGACAGAAGATGAGCAGAAGCTCCAGGACAGAAGTCTGCTTAGAAATCTGGAATGTGAAAAGTATATAGGTGCTGGTGGTGGATCTATAGTACAATAAAATTAATGAAGTTGAATCTTCAGATTTTTGGGTATAAATGACACCTGTCAATTCAGGGTGGGTGAATGACAGGCAGAGATACCAGGCGTCTTATGTTTTTACTTGGGGGGCCGGCGATGCACAGCATTGTTATCCAGTTGCAACCCCACCATACCAAGATGTTAATGGCAGCCATTCCAGTCCTCATTGAGAAAACCTGCTTCAACTGCAGAGTAATTGCCACGTACATTAGCATCATACCAGTATACTGTCCTACTGTTCCCCTTGACATTGAGTCCCATCGTGTCCGGCTCTAGGGCGTGGTGCTCATCCCCATCTCCAAGCCGTAGAGCCAGCGTTTGTCCGTAGGCTGTTTCCGTGGTCAGGTGGCCAGCGCGACTAGACATGCAACACCGTGACCTTCCCACCGAGGTGGTCCCTATTTATCTACTCGCATTTACATGCTTTCGAACGGCTAGGTTGGCAGGAGCTTGGACAAGCGACGGGAGCTTACTCCATTGCCTGGATTCGATCTTATGACGGCTGGTCTTCTGACCCTGCAGCAGAGGCTTCTGCGGTTTAACCCGCAGCGCCACCCACGTCCCCTTTTAATTTATACTACACATATAAATGACAAATAAAAGCAAGTCTCAAGTCTGGCCCTGCCAGGGCTAAACACAGCTTAGAAAGATGCAACAAAATGGACGAGCCGCTCCTACCTTAATGAAATACTTCAGGTCCGACGGAGTGATCAATACGTCCGGGGTGAGAGGCAGAGGCGTGTACTGGCAGAACTTCTCGTAATCGATGTTCATCTCTTCGGCAGGAGGGTAGAGCGGGTAATAGCTGTTTTAGGATTCGAGGCAGACAGGGAGAGGAGGCATAGGGTGAGGAGGGGAGAAAAGATCTCGTTACCTACACTTCTACAATCCTTTCCCCCTACAGACCTCTCCAACAGCTCTCTCTCTCTCTCTCTGTGTCTTAAATTCAGTGTTAAAAAAAGGCACCGCGTTCCAAGGTGTTTTTTTTTTTTTCTCCCTTTCCCTTTCTGGCGCATTTCCACTGCAAGGGGCTGGAGATTCTGCCAACGGTCACCCTCCCACCCTCTTGAGCCCGCAAAGTTTGGGCACGGCTGGGGTGAAGAGGAGACAGAGGGTGGGGAGAAAGAGGCCCTACCCACTCGCAAGGATTAAACATAAGGCCGGGTGAGAACTGGTGGGCGCAGCTGGCATGCCAGATTTAGCGGTCCTAGCGCTCAGCCTGGCCACCGCCGAGATCCGGGCATCCAGGCTCAAGGCGTGACCCCTTGGAAGGTGAACCTGAGTGGACGGGGCGAGCACGGGGCGGCTGCTGTTCCCTGGCCTGCCTTCTGACACCTCCATCTTGTCCAGTTGAAGCATCGGCTTCAGAGAATCCTAGAATCATGGGGTTGGAAGGGGCCTCTTAAGGCCATCAGGTCCAACCCCCTTGCTCAGTGCAAGAATCCTAATCAAAGCAGATCTGACAAAAGGGTGGTCCAAATTTCTCTTCAATACCTCCAGCGTTGGAGAGCTCCCCACCTCCCAAGGTCATTGGGTTCCATTGTCATACTGCTCTAACAGTTAAGTTTCTTCCTGATATTTGGCTTAAATCTTACTTCCTGTAACTTGAGTCCATTATGATGTGTCCTGCACTCTGGGACGATCGAGAACAGATCTTGCCCCTCCTCTGTATGACTATCTTTCAAGTATTTGAAAAAATGCTATCCTCTCTCCCTCCGTCTTCTTTTCTCTAAGCTAAACATCCCCATTTCTTTCCGTCTTTCCTCCTAGGGCTTCCTTTCCAGTCCCCTGATCTTCCTTCTTTTGTCCTCCTCTATATTTGCTCCAGTTGGTTGGCATGTCTTTCCTCCTACGGCTTCCTTTCCAGTCCCCCGATCTTCCTTCTTTTCTCCTCTATATTTGCTCCAGTTGGTTGGCATCCTTTTAAAACCGTGGGGTGTCCAGAACTGGATACAATCTAGTTTGTTTGCCTTAACCCGGTTCCTTACTGACATAACCCAATAATGTGGGAAAACAGTAATATAGGAACGCTCTCGGCGACAAACTCGGAGCCGGCCGCCTCGAGCATTTTTGTGCCAGAAGCAAATGACAGACCGGAGACCCTCTTCCTTCTCCCATTCTAGGTTTTTTTTTAAAAAACGGAATGGATTGCTTGCTGAGTTTCCCTTCAACCCCCTGGGAAAAGGGCAGCATCCGCCGCCATACCTAAAGGCAAAGAGGGAGGCAACAGACAGAGAGAGTGGGGTAGGGGACAAACTTACTTTCTTCTATGTTCTGTAACTAAAGATCTTACCTCCGCTGCGTCAAGATGTGCTTCAGAATTCGAGAAAAACGGTCCAAAGCACTGAAAGAACTGGGGAGAAAGAGAAAATGAAGGGGGATAAACAGCATAGTGAAAATGGAAGAGGGGATACTTTTAAAATAGTGGTGCCCCGCATAGCGAGGTTAATCCGTTCCGGATTAGCCCTCGCTATGCGGAATTGTCGCTAAACGGGTAGGGAAAAGGTACTGAAACGCATTAAACTTAGTTTAATGCGTTCCAATACCTTGCTTACTTACCCGTTCAGCGAGGATTCCCCTTGCCGGCAGCCATTTTCGCGCCCTCGCTAAGCGAGGGCAGGGCGTGAAAACGGCTGCCAGCAGCCATTTCCGGGCTTCCAGCGGCCATTTTGGAGCCACCAAACAGCTGTTCGGCGGCTCCAAAATGGCCGCTGCAATACCCGATCTTCGCAATGTGGGTTTTCCCCATTGCGAAGATCGGGTATGTTTCCGTATAGCGATCCCGAAAAAGGGATCGCTATACGGAAACATCGCTATACGGTGCACTCGCTAAGCGAGGCACCACTGTAGCTTTAAAACAATACTCTACATTTGTAATCGCTTAGACAGAGATGAGGAAACATGGCCCCCTAGATGTTGCCGAACCAAGTTCCATCCTGCCAGGCCGCCTAGAGATTATGGGAATTGTTATCCTTCTCACAACTCTTTATCTACAGACTCCTTCCAGGCCTCATCGGCGTCACAGGCTTTGTTATGAAGAGAAGCCGCATTTGGGGAGAAGACAGCACAGAATGTGTCGAAGAATGGATCCTGCTCGTCCCCAGACAAGCCTTCGCAAAAATAAGCATTTAAATCTGGCCCTTGAAAGAATGCCACATAGCACTGCTTGTAGACATGATCATGGGTGGAAGTCAATTCCACACACACACACACCAGCAAAATTTATAACATAAATTAGATCTCTGGTATTTAGAAACACCAACAGATTTATTCTCCGTTTTTCTCTCTCTCTCTCTGGATTGCTTTGCTGGAGGACTCTCCAGCCTGTCCCCTCTTGAGAATATAAAGCTTCCACGCGGAGGAAATCAAGTGGTGTCCATCCATTGCAAACTGGGCCACAGATGACTCCCAGGAAAGCCCAACACATTCTTGGGAGCAGATCCGCACCGGGTTTCTGCCTCTCCACCAAAGGGGAAAGAGGGTGGATGAAGAGGCAGGCCTGTGGCTTCCCACATCGGTTCTGGCAACCAGGGCTTTGCGCTCCAGGGCCCCCGGATTTAGAGGGAATTGACATCTGGAAGGGAAACTAATGCCGAGTGTTAGAAAAATAAACTCTGATACCTCCTGGGCATGTTTTACTCTCCTTTTTCTGGAAGCGTAAGCCTTTTCTTTGGGAGGGGGACACTGAATCTTCTTCCTCCTTTTCCCCCCCCACAAGTATTTCATGCCCACGTCCCACCACAGAGGATTAGAGAGGGTCCCACTTCCAGCAGGTACCCAAATAGCGAGTGACGTTTCTGCCCCTACACACAACGGTGAAAGGCAGGGCAAGGAACCCTTGCGTTAGGCTGGGACTTGGGACGTGGACGTTCTAAGCCCCACTGAGCCATGGAACCCGTTGGGTGACCTAGAACGTTGGGGACTCTCATCAGGGGAGAAGGCAGAGGAGAAGTAAACACTGGAGGAAAGGTGGGATAGGCAAATGAATGAATAATCTGGAGATATCTGTCCATATAGGGGGCAGAGGAGGTCTATGGAGTGTTCTCCGCAGCCATGCTGCAGCTGCCAAGACATTGCCGAAACAGGTCTCTGTGCACCCACAAAAGCGTCTTCGATATCAGAGAAAATACCTACTCTACATTGCTTACCTGGCGGTCTCTGAAGGAGAGGAAAACAGACCTCCTTAAATCAAAGGAGGGAGAAGTTGGGTGGGCAGGGTTTGCACAGGGCGAGGATGGAAAATGGGTGCTAGATTAGGGGGAGCTGCTGAGAAAAATGGCTCTCATGGACTCTGCAACTCAGCAAGCTCTGTGGGGCATAGTGCTTAAACCTGTAGTCAAGCCTCTGCTCAATGACTTGAATTCAATCCCAATAGGTCCAAGTAGCCGGCTTGAGGTTGACTCAGCCTGCCATCCTTCCGAGGTCAGTAAAATGAACACCTGATTCACGGAAAAGGGGGGGGGGGAAGAAGTGTTCCTTGCATAATTGTGTTGCAAACCGCCCAGAGCGTGGGGCAGTTTATAAGTCGAATCCATCCATCGATCGATCAAAAATAAAACCACCCGCAGCCACTTTAAGCCGCTGCAGTGAGCCACACGTCTGCCGTGGGAGGGGCACCGATAGTGAAAAACCCACAACAGGGACACCACGAGTGTTCACGTTCACTCTGATATTTTGGAGTTTAAATAGTATACAGGGTGGTGGCCTTATTGACAAGTTTGGAAAGCGAATCACTCGTTTGGAAACTTCACCTCTTCTTTAGGGAGGCAGGAAGGAAGAAGGCTGGAGCATATACGTGAGAAAGCTAGCCTTGAGGGTCGGCAGGCGGCCCCCCATTACGTCATGAAAACAAACAAGGAATGTAAAGAAGATGTTCACGGCCGAAATCCTGTTCGTGCAGCCCCACCACGTAAGACTGAGGTCATCAGCCATGGGGATTTTTTCAGAAATGAAACATATCCATTATCAGGTCAAAACAAAATAAAGAAGATAAACATGTGGTGGCGTCTTAAAAGACCTCTTCTATAAACCTTTCTCGTCCCCAGTGGAAAGCCCCAATCCACTCAACCCTTTCCACGGAAGGCTCAAAGCTGCGATGATTTGAGTGGCCGTACTGGATGACACTGAGCAAAGTTACAGACACCCGGCCCTCGGGATGCATTCATAATATTTTATACCCCGTCTTTCTCCACCTACGGCAGCTTCGGAGCCCTGCAAAAGCAGCAAGGAGGAGCGTGCGAGAGAACGTTCCTCTAAGGAACATTTAAAAAAAAATAAGCGGGAGGCAGCCTTCCAGGACCCACACAAAGTTTGGGCTGAGGTTCGAGAGCCTCCTGACCCCCAAGAAAGGACTGGGCAGCTGTGGACTTACTTCTCTCACTCACTCACACAACTGTGACACTTCTGGGAGATTGAATCACGCCTGATTCATATTGTTTCCTCTCCTACCGCAGGGCAACCCCACCCTTTCCTCTCTCGAAAAGGGGCCACATTCTCTGTTACTGGTAGAGTTCTCTCTAGATTAAGGGTGCTTTTTTTTTTTAAAGAAAAGCAATAGGGTTGAGCAAGAATCGCTGATGATTTACTGCCTGTGAATGAGCCACCAACCTCCCACTCTCTGTTTTGACACACAATCGGACAGGAGCGTGGCGTCGAGAGAGCTATTGGCCTTCCCTTTAGGGGTACTGTTGCCTTCTATTGGCACATTTAGCTTTCTGCTTCCATTTTTTTGGCCTTTCTTCCCAAAAACCTGAAGGTAATAAACACGGCCTTCTTCCCCTGTTTTCCCAACCCACCGGTGAGGGAGATCGGGATGAGAAACGGGAAGGCGCCATCCAATAAATTTCAGGGCAGAGCGGGAACTTGAACCGGGCTCTCCGGCGTCCTAGTCTAGACCAACCACCTGACACACCTCTGCCCCACGCGGGCCTGAAGGATGAAGGCTTTCTTCCGACACAATTGTCCATGAGACTCCCAGGTCCGTGACTTATCATCCAACACGATTCCTCCTCAAACCCAACACTCGTTGAGCGTGTCAGACTGTAACGTCTAGGAACGGGGACCTGATTCATGCCACTTGCTCTTAAATTGGACTGACGTTGCTCCGCCAGTTACTCAACTTGGTGTTGTTGTTTCAATGAATCAAACCGAACCCACCCAGCCCTCCTTTATTTTTTGGGGTGGGTGAGAAGCCTGTTTTTAAGAGGGACTCAGGACCGAAGAATCGAGACTCAGGACTTGTCGAAGGCCGCCAACCTAGAGGGCCAAGTGTACGTAACATTGCTGAGCCGTGTCTCGAAATACAGCCAACTCAAGGAATCACAGCAGGTCCTTGGACTACAAACCCCATGATCCTCAGCCCCACATGGCCACTGCTTTCCCCTCCAAGCAGCGCTGGAGAGCCCTGGCTCTATTCACCGCCGAAACCATGGGAGTTGTAGTCCCACCTATCGGGGGGGGGCGCCGGCTTGGGACCGAGGAGGCTTTCCTCTCACGGCTGGGAACCTACCTGATTTCTTCGGAGCCCATGTGGAAGAGCAGGTCCACTGAGGTCAGGCCCAGAAGCACCCCGTTGACCTCCAGGGTGCAAGGGTCGGAGACGAAGAGCACCCTCTGCAATTAGAAAAAAGGAAAAGGGAAGGATGAGGGGGCAACTCCGTGAGTCAGCTTCAAAATCCACAGCGCGGTCCAAGACCTCAGATACAGCAGAAGCAGATTTTTACACTGATTTTTTTTTTAAAGACAAGCACCGGTTACTTATCTATAAACACAGTTCTTTGAATGGCCTCTCCCAATTCAAAGAGACCCTTATCCAGCAGGCCGAGGCAAAGAAGCAGTCCCGAACTCAGCCAAATCAGGGAGCTAGACAGGGGACAGATTGTATTTCTCTTCAGTGTGGAAGGGATGGTCACTCTCAAACTGGCCTTCTCAGCCACACTAGACGCTGTTCCAAGACCTCCATCGGCTCTCGAGACTAAAGGATGCCTACACCATCTCATGCTTTAAGACTGTGTCTCTATCTCTAGCAGAGTATACCAAGCTCCCCCAAAACTTTATTTGACCCTCTTACTTTTAGGTGCAGTTTGAAATTGGCAAGGGCTCCTTTGACGTGATTTACAGCCAGGACACCCTTCTGCGTGCGCCTTCCAACTCCATTATTGTACGTTGTTTTTGTTGTTGTTTAGTACTTAACTCGTGCCCGACTCTTCGTGGCCCTATGGACCAGAGCACGCCAGGCCCTCCTGTCTTCCACTGCCTCCCGGAGCAGGGCCATATTCATGTTGTTCGCTTCGCAGACGCTGTCCATCCATCTCGTCCTCTATTGTCCCCTTCTCCTCTTGCCCTCACTCTTTCCCAACATCAGGGGCTTTTCCAGGGAGTCTTCTCTTCTCATGAGATGGCCAAAGGATTGGAGCCTCAGCTTCAGGATCTGTCCTTCCAGTGAGCGCTCAGGGTTGATTTCCTTCAGAATGGATAGGTTTGTTCTCTTTGCAGTCCAGGGGACTCTCAAGAGCCTCCTCCAGCACCACAATTCAAAATTCTATGACTACGTAAATCTGTTTCAGATAAATAAGCAAAACAAGACTGGTACCAAATTCACAGATGAGCAAGGATTCAAGGCTGAAAGAATCCTAGGTCAGGCTGAAGGCTGAAACCTGAAACTTTACCAATGTTCTGAACTATGACATCCATCAGCCCCACCCGGGACAGCCAACCGGGGCTGGAGCTGCGCTGACAGATGCAAAAAGCTGTTCCATCAATTTTTTTTAATTTTTATTTTTTGCTAGAAAACGAATAAATAGGGCAGGAATTTCTGTCCTAATCCAAAAATATGAGTTTGGGGACAGGGGCCGGAAGGGATGACCAACGGTTATTTCTCAACCGTGAAATGAAACAACCGGCCGACGTTGCAACAGATCTTCCGGGGAAGCCCCACCGTTAGCCTCTTCTCCTGAAGCAGGAAAAATGACTCAAGACTCCTTTGGAAAAAAAAGGAGAATGGCTGAAAATGAAACTTCCTGCCCCATGAGAAACAGGAAGTCCTTTTCAAGGGTGAATTTTGTGCCGGAAAGATTCTCCCAACGCCACCCTCCCTTGGGGTTCATTTTCTGAAAATTCGGGGAAAGGGGTTGAAAGGCTGGTTTCCGGGGGGGGGGTGTCAGGCCGCACTACGGACAGCCTGACCCATACTAGAGGGGGTATCGGAGGGCAGGTGGGCCTGATTCCCTTTTGCAAATTGGGGTCCAGCCCCTCACAGAGGCCCACAGAAACCAAATGGGTCAGTGAGGAACTGCAGAAACCTGGCTTGCAGGCTGTGCATTTGGGGGGGGGGTTCCAGCCAGGAGATGACCGTGCATACAGGAATTACCTGGCTTCCCCACCTATCTCTACGGACAACGATACATGAAACTACAGAAGGACCCCCACATTTGTGGGGGGAACAATTCTAAGCACTCCCCCCCTCCATGGATGTCAAAACCGTGCAGATACAGAGCATTGTTTCTTCTCCCTCTAGTGGCCACGATGGTCATTACATTCTGGAAATACATACAGTGGTACTGTACGTCAGTTGACGAAATCAATGCATTTTCCGGGACATTACGGAAAGCGAAAAATTTGTTAAACTGGGAACGCGGATTGCCATAGGAACAGGGGCAGTGCTATAAACCTCCAGGCACTAATACATCCTGGGGAAACTTCCTTCGTACTCCAAAAAACACCCCATAAATCGAGGCATTATTTTCAATGGATTTGTTCGTAAACCGAAAATTATGTTAACCGAGGCATTCGTAAACCGAGATACTACTGTATTTTTGGTTTTTTCTCTTTTAATAGTTTCAGACTGTGGATAAGTGAAACTGTGGATACCGATCCCGCGGATATGGCAGTCCTACGGTATTTATAGGCCCCCACTTTTTTTAAAAAAACCCTGGGAAGCGTTTGCCAGCTGGCGAAGGGATGACCCCCTCCGTCCATCCTGCTTTCCACCGAGGGCCTCAATCCGCTTTCCTTTAACTCCTCACTCCTCGGAGGCTCCCGTTGCTTCTCAGGTCTCGGTGGCCACCCTCTCCAAGCTGGAGGGGCCCTCAAGCTCGAACCCTGGGCTTCCTGTCCCATCATGACTGAAAATTACAGCCACCAGAGAACATCCAGACTGAGATGTCTTCCCCGCAAGCTTAAATAAAGGGGCAGCTTCTTCGATATACCTGCTTGTCTTCCTTCGACAGCTCACAGCGGGCAAAAGGCGGCTGGGGGTACACACAGACATGGTGGACGTCTCTCAGAGAAGGGACGATGACCAGGTGTGAGCCGGCACTGTTGGAAAGAAATGGACAAAGCGAGGATAGGTAAGCGGGAATATCTGAGGGGGGGGGAATCACAATGACCTGTATGTGCGTCCTGGACAACCCGCTTCAACACCACACGGTGCCTAACGTGTCCGGATGTGGCAGTGCAGCAAAATGAGACAAAAAGAAATACAGCGTTGCCTCGCTTAATGAGCGCCTCGGTTAACGACAAATCCCGCATAGCAACGGATTTTTTACAATCGCATAATGGTATTTTTAATAGTAAAAAATCGCTCTGCGATAACGGTAAGCTGTTTCGCTTACCGATTTTCGGATATTTTTAATGGTAAAAAATCGCTCTGCGATATCGGTAAGCTGTTTCGCTTACCGATTTTCGCATAGCGATGTTTTAAAAACAGCTGATCGGCGGTTCCAAAATGGCCACCGGGGGAAAAAATGGCCGGCCGCTGTTTTCACGCCGATTCCTCACATAACGGGCAGCAAAAATGGCGGCCGTATGGAGGATTTTCGCTTAAAGGTGAGTTTCAAGCCCACAGGAACGCATTAAACGGGGTTTAATGCATTCCTATGGGCTTTTTCTTTTCGCATAGCGACGAATCCAGATAGCGACGATTTTTCCGGAACGGATTATCGCCGCTATGCGGGGCACCACTGTACATTATGTTGGAGGTGAAAAAAAATACACTTGCTAATTTTTTTAAAATTTTGGTGAAGAAACAAAAGTGTTCTGTAGGTTCAAGGACAGTTTAAGAAACTCAGGCCCATCCCTTCCTCCTGTCTTTCATTTTTCGGGCGTCACTGAGCCCGAGAAGGGACTTCTGCAGGACTCGAAAGGTTGCGCTCCAATCGAAACAGAAGGCACCGTTCAACTGGGTGTTTTATGTTGGACGCGCTTCCCTGCGGAGGTGCGTCAGGCTCTTTCCCTCCTCATATTCAGAAAACGCATTAAACACATTGCTTTCCGGGAGGCACTTTGGAATATCCTCTAATTTCGATTATATTTTGTAGTTCAATCCCTGGGCATTAAGATCATCAGGGGAGGGCCTTTCTCTCGATCCCCCCCACAAGGTGGGGAGACCCTCTGCAAAATCGGGGCAACCTAAGAAGGTCCAAACTCTTACCTCCTTGTCCTTTCAATGATTGTCTTCAGGCAAATCTTGAAAACGTCTTCAAAGGAGGACGTGAGCTGGCAGTCCTAAGAGAAACAGAACGACAGAGGGGAGCAAGAAGTCACCCTTTCGCTCCACACACGGAACGTTACTTGTTTAGTCTCCGAGTTATATTCATGAAAGACCCCTGCCTGGAAGTCTGGACAGCGGGTGAAACCCGCCAAGGGGGCTGATGATGTGAAACAGGCTTGTTTATTTCATGCATTTGTATACCGCTTAGTGCAAAGCGCTAGTCTAAGCGGTTTACAACGACATAACGGAAACCCAAACACCGAACATAGACGCAAATAAACAAGCAATAGATACAAACCCAACATGATGGTGACCTAGGACATAGCTTAAGATGATTTTGAACGTCGCTTGAAGGAGGGGAGTCACAGAATCATGGAGTCGGAAGGGGCCTCTAAGGCCTTTGAATCTAACTCCCTGCTCAAGACAGGAATCCCAAACAGGTCTGACAGAGTGGTTCAATTTTCTCTTGAAGGCCTCCTGGGTCGGAGCCCTCGCCACCTCCTGAGGTCATTGGGTTCCATCATCTTCAGATCCTCTTATTACGGAATGGGATCTTCGTACTTCAACGGGGATCCCCTTCCGTAAGGATGGGCCACGACCGAGAAGGCATGATTTCTTACAACAGTCCTCTTTGCCTCTCTCGGTGTGGCAACCTGGAGAAGCAAGGCCTGAGAAGAATGGGTGGCGTGGGCTGATGTTTATTTATTTATTTATTTGATTTATATCCCGCCCATCTGGTCTGGTCGAGGAAAAGATGCTCCAGCAGATACGGAGCAGGACCCCACATGGTTACCGTTGAACCAATAAACTTGACTTGGCAGAAGTTCTTCCCGGGTAAACGAACCGCTCAAAATCATGAGGACCGGAAGCTTGACACGTAGAGCAGAGATGTCAACTCAGTGGCAGAGTAGCCACCTGAGACCCACAGCCCTGCAGCTAAGGGGCGCGGCTGTGGGGCAGAGCACAAGCTCTGCATGCGAGTCAAGGGGGCTCAGCCCCAAGAGCGGAGAAAAGGATCGGGTCTCCGAGGATGAGAATAGACCCTGATGGGTCTTTCGGACTCTGATCAACTGCAGCCCATCAGCGAAAGGAATCTTGCGCTCAAGAAGCCAGTCGCCGGATCGCAGCCAAGGCAGGCAGCCCACTTTCTTCCAGGAAAGGATCCAGAGCTGAATGGGAGGGCGGCTACATCTCCCTCATCGGCGACCGGCCTCAGAAATGGGAAACTCCTTTAATTTATTTATTTATTTATTAAATTTGTATCCCACCCATTTAGACATTGTCTACTCTGGCCGGCTCACAATAAAATGGAATAAAAACAATCAAATAAGCTAAGAAGTTTTTAGAGAAGTACAACACTACGGGGATTTCCATCCTTTCACTTAACGCCCGTGTATAAAAATCGTAAGGTCAAACTAAGAAAAGGAACCTAAGCTAGCAGACGTTTGCTTTTCTCCTAAAGTCTGTGGAAATAAGACACTTGATTTCTGACAGATTCCTGAAAGACAACTGGGAACTACAGGATCTCGAAGGGGGGGGGGGTTCCCACGATCCGGGTGCCACCACCGAGAAAGCCCACCCCGACAACAGCTTAGAAAAAGACGAGCTTTCATCACTTTATCCCGAAACCTACCTCAACTTGTTTGTGCTTCGCGTCAAGGAAGGGTCCAAGCTGTCAACAATGAAAGGAAATTTAGGGTCAACCCAGGCAGGAAGACAACGCCCTAAATTAGCCGCGACGGTCGTTTCTGAAAACTCATCAAGCGCCTTTCAATGCTGTGGGCCATGAAGGGTGAGCAGCGGAGAAAGGATGTGTTTTTAATTCCAAGAATCATAAAGCTTCCACAAAAACCCAAGCGGATGCCAGACGTGATGAGAGCTGCAGAGAAAAACAGCTCTGTGCGAATAAGCAGAGTAGGAATCTGTAGCCTTCAGATGGGTTCTGGACTACAACTCCCAGAATCCCCAACACTCATGGTAGTTGTAGCACCAAGTGTCCAGAGGGCACCATTTTATCTTCCACGTAGGGAGGCAAGGGTGGGTGGCACCTTTATTAAACCACACACATTATCTTAGAATGGCAGATCTGGAAGGAAAACTACAGTGGTGCCTCGCTTAACGATTGCTTTGTTAAACGATGAAACCGCAATACGATAAACTTTTTGCAACCGCTTTTGCAATTGCAAAACGATGTTCTAATAGGAAAAATTCGCTTTGCGATGATCGGTTCCCTGCTTCGGGAACCGATTCTTCGCATTACGATCAAAACAGTTGATCGTCGGGTTTTCAAAATGGCTCCCCGCTGTGCTTACGGACGGATTCCTTGCTATACAGGCACCGAAAATGTCCGCCGTATGGAGGATCTTCACTGGACGGTGAGTTTTTAGCCCATTGGAATGCATTAACCGGGTTTTAATGTGTTTCAATGGGGTTTTTAAATTTCGTTTTACGTTTTTGCTCTACAGCGATTTCGCTGGAATGAATTAATGTCGTTAAGTGAGGCACCACTGTACATAAATCATCATTTCCCATCCCTTTTAGAGCCTGTGATTATTTCACACATATAGCCTGTTTCCCCGAAAATAAGCCCCAGTGAAGAGAAACCCCGTCCTCCACCCTTGTGCAGCAAACAAACAGAAGCCAGTTTCTGACCTATTTCAGGGCTTCCTCGGACCCAGGAATGGTGCAGAAGAGTAACGAAGTTCCAAAACAGGACGGCCAAGGGTAACTATGATTGTGGATGCTTCATGCTTACTGTCTTATTTTCGGTACATCCATGGTGGATCTGATGGAAATGTCTGTCTTCAAAATAGGAGGCCACACGATACAGGGGCTGGCGAAGAACATGCAGCAGGCATCCAATATATATCCCTCAAGTAACTATGATTGTGGATGCTTCATGCTTACCAAAATGCAAACATCCGGCTTGTCTTTATTAATAACGTCTATTAAGTCTAGCATGGGATCGTAGGTGATGCTATCTGAGGTGGTATAGGGGCCGCAGGCGACCAGCACCATCTGTGGCCCTGAATCTGAGGAGGTTACAAAGATAAGAGACATGCATAAGACATAAGATCCCATACAAGCGTGGATCTGTTGAGCCCTGGTTGCGCTGAAATCCCCCACTTTTTAGAATCTTGCACTGCGGCGTCCAGATCAAAAGCTGTACAAAATTGCTCCTATGCACTATGTTTGGGATACAGTGCTAGGAGAAGGGCTGCTTGTTCAGAACGGTGTACGGTGGGACCCTATATCCATGGGAGATTGGTTCTGAGCCTTCTCCCCGTGGATGCTGAAAAACGCGGATAACAGCGAACACGATTTTAATAGGGAACGCTATATATTGTGTTGTCTCTGGTTCCCTCTAGTGGCCCGTTCTGAGCGCTCCAACACTCCCACCCCTTCTTTTTTTTAAAAAATTAAGGTCTTAAGGGAAAGGCTGCGCTCCTTTTTATAAGAGTCCCCTCTCTTCAGGAACATAACGTGTCATGTTTTCCACTAATTCATTTTTTTAACCTAGAGGGGTTTAGGGAGCCCACGGGCCACAAAAACCAGCAGCGCTCCAACACTCCCACCCCTTCTTTTAAAAAAATCTAAGGTCTTATGGGAAAGGCTGCACTCCGTTTTATAACAGAGCCCCCTCTCTTCAGGAGCATAACGTGTCATGTTTTCCACGAATTTTTTTTCATTCTTTTTTAACCTAGAGGGTCTTAGGGAGCCCACGGGCCACAAAAACCAGCTTCTGACCACCTAAACCACCGAGCTATCCAGCAGTTCCTCCCTGCGCTACAGGACATGCGATTTGATCTTACACGCTAATTCCTCCCACTTTCCCTCCATTCTGTTTTAGCTCTTTAAAAAAAAACAAAACAGATATGCCTGGATATTTTCATAGGGGTGCAGGCCTCCAAGACCCAGAGAAAAGAAATTCTGGCCCCCCGGATCCTTACGAGTGGCCTACCAATTTTTTTAAAAACAGAACACAATTGAAGAGCACAGTTCCAGCTTTTATAGGTCTGAAAAAACATGAAAAGCTAAGTTTCTAGTCCTTATGAATACTTACACGGAAAAGATTGGTCACAATTTAAGGAACAGCACTTAGGAAGTGAGTAAGATTTCTACCCTTAAAGCAGATTTAAGGGTAAGAATCTGAAGGGTGGAAACAGCACATAGGAAGTGAGTAAGATTTCTACCCTTAAATAAAGCAGATTCTGCAAGGGTAAGGTTTATATAATGCAGAATCTGCTTTATTTTTAATTCCACCCTAATAGCCACCATTTAGAAGGAGCTGGAAAACAGCATTTCATGTGGGCAGACGGACACTAAATCTTTGACACTGGTAGACTCCAGCACCCATCTCTCCCAGCCCAAACAGACAATGGCTAAGGATGATGGGACTTGCAATCCAAGCCCCTTTGAAGGACTACATGTCCTAGAACAGGTTGAATCCTAAGACCTCGTTTAAGAAAATAAATATCAGGACGAACTCACTTTCTGCCTGATCCGAAGGATGATGGAAAGGCAGTGGCACTCCCTGAGGAGAAAAGAAACAAGATTTAATATTTGCACTTTGAAAAAAAACAACACAAAATGTTCTCAGGTATTTCTATATGTAAAATATTTTTCACTCTGCCTTTCTCTTAAAAAAAGGACGCAAGGTGGCTTACATCATTAAAAACAATATTAAAAGCTAAAAACAGTAAATCATTCAAACGTTAAAGAAGAATGAACAACAATAGATCAAAAAGGTTCAGGAAAAGCAATAGGAAAAACAGATTTAGAAGCCGCAAAATAGAAATCATCCTGTTTATTGTCTTCTAACTACTCAGTCGCTGAGGGAAAGCCTGCCTGAAGAAAGGTGGCTTACATCATTAAAAACAATATTAAAAGCTAAAAACAGTAAATCATTCAAACGTTAAAGAAGAATGAACAACAATAGATCAAAAAGGTTCAGGAAAAGCAATAGGAAAAACAGATTTAGAAGCCGCAAAATAGAAATCATCCTGTTTATTGTCTTCTAACTACTCAGTCGCTGAGGGAAAGCCTGCCTGAAGAGAAAAGTCTGCACTCAGTCGCTGAAGCCTGCCTGAAGAGAAAAGTCTTGGCCTGCTTTCAGAAAGACAACAAAGATGTGGCTGGCCTGGGCCTCTAGTGGCAAGGAGTTCCGTCTTGGCCTGCGTTCAGAAAGACAACAAAGATGTGGCCGGCCTGGGCCTCTAGTGGCAAGGAGTTCCACCGTTTGGTCCCGTGTCCCCACGAAGTGCAACTAAGAGATCCCGGGCTGGTGATTTGACGTTTCAGGCCACAAAATTAGGGGGTGAGAGAGAAGCATCTTTTAAAAATGACTCACTGAAAACAGGTTTTATTATTTCAATTATTTAGAATTTGCTTTCCAAGCCATCATGAGGTTCCTTCCGGGGGGCGGGGGGGGGGGGAGTCGTTTGCAACTAAAAGCAATCAAAAACTAACCAGGAAGCCAACGATCAGAGGTCCATCTCCTAGCCTGTTATTCCAGATACAAGTCATTCCCTATTTGTTATTTATCACCCTGTTTTTGAAAGCAAATCATGGCCATTACCCATTACAATGTTGAAAAAGTAACTTTTTATGTGGCTTGTTACTTTTTTAAAAAATATGTTTAACAACAACCACCTGAATACTGTAACTCATTTTTGAAACATTTCTTACAAAGCAACAAATTATAGGTAAATAATGTTACATGTCATTTTTTAATGTCAAAACACTCTTTGGAAGATTGGCAACTAACTTAAAAAAACTGGGTTATGTTTCTGGTTTGCTACAAGAGCTACGAAACCAACAGGTTTTAGATGCCATGCTAAGATTCTGGCCCCTGGTTCATCTCTGGCTTCCTTAGACCAGTGCTGGAGAAATAAATTTATTTATTATTATCTATTATGGTCGGGTGACCAGCTCATAAAATGTATTTATGGCTAAAATATACAAAATGCAGTTTAAAAAAATATACAACCGATTCATAAAACATGTTATGTGGCTAAAATATACAAAATGCAGTTTAAAAAATGTACAATCTGTTTTTAAAACGTATTATGTGGTTAAATATACAAAATGCAATTTTAAAAAAGTATAGAACAAATAATTAATTGCATACTGGTTGCAAAATATGGGGAGAATCAAATCCAGCATTTTTTCTAGCTGTCATTTAAACCACTGGATCGTCTAAGGCGAACTAGTTTGGTGCTGGAGAATGTCACCCTATAAGGTCAAGGGTCTCCAAGATTTTCAGAGGGAAGGCCACAACCTATAGGTTCCAGATTTTCAAGGATCGAACCACACAAATTCCAGAAAAACTCCAGCCATGAAAAAAGCACCAGAACAAGCGAGTGTAAACAGCAGTTTCTCACCTCATACAACTTGGATGCAAAGAACATTCTGCCCGTATTGTTGATACCTTCCATAACCACAACCTGGAAAATTTGGGGGGGGGGGGGGGGGGGAGGGGAAACTCAATCAAG